GTGAAACACGCACATACACCTGCGCAACCAAAGCGGCAACATTCCACAGCAATGATATTGGGACAATGGCATGGACATTGGGTTTGGGAACAGGGTGCAGCCCCCAAGACGTTCAAAAGTGTGATGTCACATGGGCTCACCTCCGCCAACGCGGTCCCGAGGAACAAATTCCGTGAGGATGCACTGCATGTCAGGATGGCGATTCTGGTACTCAGAAATCATGATCCTGCAGCGTGTGTACATGAGTTGCATGTATGAGCGTGCGTGCGTGTTTGTGCATGCGTGCGTGCGTGCGTGCGTGTGCGTGCGTGTGTTGCACGAAAATGTTTGTGTGCATCGTCGCATGCGTGTGTGCAAACACACGCAATCTTAAGAGTCACTGCTGTGGAATACGCAACATGGCGCCCCGTTGCGCCACTGGTTGAGTTTTGCTTTGCGTTGTTGCAGCTCGTAACTTACCGCAGACTGGGAAATACGGTGCCTTTGCTGTTGACGTAGAGCCCTGGATAGGATTCGATTCATTTGTGAGCGCAGCATGTTGACGTAGCGGGCAATGAGCACTGAAGAACAAGCGAACTCACAATGCATGCAGGCAACGACATGATGTGCAAGCAAGGAAGACACACCACCCAGGACGCACCCTCTTTGTTGCGTTCCACACGATTGTGGAACACCATGCCGCCGACCACAAAGCTGATAGCAAACTCATTCTCTTTGCTGCACGCATATGTGAGTGAGATGTTGAGTTCACGAAAGCAACGGAGTAAGTGATGCGATGCACTGAATAAATCAAGCCATGACATGCTGCACGCTTTCCACACACACACACACACACACACACACACACACACACACACACACACACACACACACACACACACTCACTCACGACGACACACGCACGCACCCCCCCCCCCCAAACAAAAAAAAAGCGGGGGATATTTGCACACGAGCACACACACACACACACACACACTCTCTCTCTCTCTCACGAGTACACACACACACACACATACACACACACTCTCTCACGAGTACACACGCACGCACACCCCCTCCACACACACACACGCGCGCGCACATCCACACACGAGCACACACACGCACAAGTACATACATACCCTTCACGTTGGCGAACAAGAAAGAGGCCATCAATTGCTGCATAGTCTTGCAAAATATCTTCAGCGTGCGCACGTGACAAGGGCCCGTGAAACCTTGTGGTGAGATGTGCAATGTAGACACAGTTGGCAGTGGTTAGACTCGAATAGTGGTTAGAATACAAAACAATGGCGATGGACACGAATGTCCTGTTGCCTGCAGGCACGAGGCAATTGGAGCAAGCCACGACGGAGCGCTGCAACACACAGCAAACAGCCAACAGCAACACGAGCGGGCGCAATCTCCTCACCACGGCTGATCTTCATCTGCCAGCGAAGGTTTGCGTGTTGCAACAGCCGGTGGACCCTCCTTGATTTGCTTACTGCGCAGGCGGCAGCTCACTCGACGAAGCTGAGCAGCAATCACATCACGCAGGGACACCGCACACAGCACACGCACGCGTGAGAAGCGCGCATATACAACGAAGCAACAGCTGTGGCTGAAAAACATGAACTGTTTTGCAAGCGGAGACAAAAAAGCGTGTCACGGCAAGTCATAGAACCGACTTACCCTATTGAACGCTTCGTTGGTCACCTTCTTGAGCAATCGGCACACTTCCACTGCCTGCAAGCACGATGTGGCAACGCAATCAACGCCGGGGGGAAAGGAAGAGCAGAGCGTGAATATGAAGAACGAGTAGCCGCTTCACCCACGTGTTTGCTTGCTTGTATGCTTCTTTGTGTGTTTGTCTGCTGCTGCTTTGAGTTGCTGTTGACAAGCGTTTGGCTTACCCCGTCCTCGTCGTCGAGAAGAAAGAGATGGCACTTGAACTTGCCGTTGCCCGGCCGCTTCACCACAATGCCGACCGCATTGGCAACGTGGCTGATGAACGCAATCTGGTGTGGTTGGCGTCACGTGGCGGAGTCGCCGTGCAGTTGGGCATGAGCAAACACAGCCGAGGGGTGGTGGCGCAAGTTGAAAAGAAACCAGCAGCACAGCTGTTAGTAGCTGTGTGCAGTCGCTGGCGCTCGGCAATGACCACGAAACCACGTAGCCCAAAAGGGATACACCAAGGGAACCAACACAAAGCGAACAGCGAGACGTCACTGCGACAGTGGCTGGTGGGACACTTGAGATCATCCGAGACCATTCAACGTACCTTATGCAGCTGGCAGTTCATGACGACTGCACCCTGCGTCTTCCCATCGCTTGGCAGATCGACGCGCACGGCACCGGACTGGATCTGCACGGCATGAAACAGGGATCGAGGGAGCAACGGAGTTGCGTGCATGCACGCCGCAACGAAATGTCAGGAAGGGGACAAAGGGCACGGCTGTTGTAGTTGTCATGCGGGAAACTCCAGGGCACAGTAGGCACACACACACACACATGCGCGCGCCGCGGGCGAGATGGTAACTGACGGTCATAAGCAGCGGCGTGTCAAAGCCGCGGCCGAAGAGCGGGTGTAGCTTTCGGGTTTTCTACAGTGCGCAAGACAAAGTGAGACGAAAGGGGTGAGAGGAGATCTTTCGATGCACACTACACAGGAGGCCCCAATCGACCACACACGGCAAGGGCGATGTGCCCCCGTTCCTTGCCTTGCTGATAACACCCAGTCCTCTTGACGGCAACGCCACAACAAATACAAGCATACAGTGGTGGTGATCTTTCCAGCAGTGCACTCAACAATGTGTGCTGTTGAAAGCATCCTTCCTGGTCCTTCCTTCCGTCTTTCCGTGCCCCCCCCCTCTTGCCCCAGCACTCTTCGCCCACCTTGATGCGTTTGCGACTGAGCATGGAGTGAGCCTTCTGGACGGCAGCCTCGCCAGGGATGGACTTGCCGTCCGGGGAATCTGTGTGGATGAACCCGCGATAGAGGCACTGGAACACGCCGTGCGTCTTCTCCTTCCCTCGCTCACTCATCGTCGCTGTTCGTCGTTCGTGTTCGTTGTTGGTCGAGGGCAAGCAAACAACAAACGCCAAGAATGTCAACAACAAGCGAATGGTGACTCATCAATTCATTCGCCTCACCCCATATCCAACCAACCGACACACACGACGTTGCTGCTGCTGCTGTTTCGTTTGCTGGTGTGCCAGATGGAGAGAAGGGAGGGACGATGGTGGGGTATCATGATGATGACGCCAGCGTGGCCTTGTTTGGGCCGGACCCAAAGTCTGTCCAGCGCACAAACTACATTTGTGCGGCCGTCACCGTCGCCGCCGTGACGGTATGATGGATCGTGTGCGTTTGCTTTGTGGTTGTTCGTATGTTTGTATTCATGTGTGTGTGTGTGCACGTGTGTGTGTGTGTGCACGTGTGTGTGTGTGTGCACGTGTGTGTGTGTGCCTGCATATGTGTGTGTGTGTGTATGTGTGTGTGGGTCTGCGCGTGTGTGGGTCTGCATGTACTGTGGCAACGAGAGGTCCTACAACCACTTTCACACACACACACACACACCTATACTTACGTCGTCTCCTTCGTCTGACGGTCTTTTTGAAGGCGACCATTGCGTTTGCATTCACCAGAGACAGCTTGGAGATCATACACATCTTCTTTGCCGTCGGCGTGGTGCTTGTCGCCATCCCCGAGTTTGTTCTCGTGAGTATTCCCCTATCCACGCTCACGACAGTGCCCACATTTCGTGCAAGAAGCGGCAAACACGCAGATAGATGAACACACACCCAGACACAATCACATACACACACACAGACACACAGACACACACAGACAGACAGACGCACACACACACACACACACGTACACATACACGCACACACACACACACACACACACACACACGCACACGCACGTACACTCGCAAGAGCGCCTTTACCTTAGCTCACATCTGCGTTCCGAATTGATCGTGTTTAGGTGCTGTGGTATCGAGAGGGCGACCTGCCGCCACGGTTCCGCTACCTAATTGCCTACATTACGTGTTCCATCGTTGTTCTGTGCATCTCCTCCATTGTGTACTTTCGTCGCGTCCACGCCACAACACATTCCCACTGCCCACCATGTCACAACGGCACCAACACTTCGGTGCCGTGGACGTGATGTGATATCACGTGATCATCGCCCCACCGCACAGCACCACCACATCCCATCGCATCCCTATGACCACATCGCATCAGCCGCTCCTCAGCTCGTTCTGTTACGTTCATTACATGCGCTTGATTGCTGTTTGACTAGCTCTTACGACTTGCGTACTTCTTTTAGTTAGGTCCTGTTCTCCCCCTGCTCCTTCCCGCTGTTTGGTGCTTGCACACACCTAAGCTGCACAGCTGTGTGTGAGTGAGTGAGTGAGTGTGTGTGTGTGTGTGTGTGTGTGTGTGTGTGTGTGTGTGTGTCTCGCTCTCTCTGCGTTTCGTGCGCCTGTCCACCATCACGGAGGTCTTGTGTACAGTGCATTATAACCTCCTCATTCGGTTAATTCGACCGAGAGTGTCAGTTGTTCATAGTGGGAGTTGGGTTCAGTGCATATGGAAGTTGTGTATTCGGGGGGCGAGCCCACGCAAAGAGTAACGACGCAACCAGTCTCCGAAGGAAGTAAGAAACAGGTGCGTGGACGGTCCCATGCAACAGCTCACAAGAAGCCACCATTGGAAGACATTGGAGAAAGACGAGAGTGGAGGGGGAAGGGGAAGCGCAGTGCGACGCAAACCATATTGCACGTCCACCAGCATGTCGTACAACAACAGCGGCAATGACACGAAGGAGAGGAGGAGAGCGGGGAGGGGGGGGGGGAGAAGGGGTGCGGCAGCGTAAGGTCGCGTGTACTTACAGGAGGTGCACAGACAACAGCGAACGGAGACGTACACAGACACGCACGCGCGCACAGACACGCACACACACACACAGACACACACACACAACAGCGAACGGAGACGCACACACACACACACATACACACAGACAGACACACAGTCACACACACATACACACAGACAGACACACAGTCACACACACATACACACAGACAGACACACAGAATCATTCACTCCTTCTGTGACTTGTCATGCAGCCTGGCGTCCATGCGGTGTCGGAACTGCTCCGCTGCAACCCGCGCCTCTGCTTGCCGTTCCTCCCGTCCTTCAAACACATAGTCCACCTTCTTGCGGTTCCGGAACACGGCAAAGTACGCCGCAAAGCACCCGCCCAGCACCAGCGGGATGGCAAGCGCCTCTTTCATCGTCGCAGTCTGTGATGTGTGGTCGTGTGTGTGGTGGCTTGTCGTTCTTGTTCTTGTTGCTTGTTGTTTGTGCTGCTTCTTCGTCGTCTTCTTCCTTTCAGCAAGACACAAACAAAAATGAACGAGGTGTCACAATGGAAAGAAAGAGCAAGCAATGAAGCAAGCAATGAAGCAATGAAGCAATGAAGAAGGAAACGCATGCCAAAGTAAGCAGGCAAAGCCAAGTCAGGTACAACGAGAGTACACGCATCGAGGCAAACGCAAAGTGCCACAACACATGCTGTGCTGCAGGCAGCACAGCAACATGCACCAGCATGCCAAACCCAACACGGTGGTCAACAAACAAAGCGCCAGTGCCACACATCAACGTGTGTGGCGGTTGCATAGTGCCTATGGTCTTTTCAGAACGCGTAATGTACAAAACAAGAGACACAGGCAAGTGGCGGGGGAGGGCTGGATGAAGACAAGGGGCAGGGGACGGAGGAACGCATCTGCAAACACACGCACACGCATGCACACACACACACACACACACAGACACACACACAGACACACACACAGACACACACACAGACACACAGACAGACACACAGACAGAGACACAGAGACACACGCCGACAGACACGCAGATACACACACATACACACATACACATACACAGACACAGACACAGACACAGACACACACACACACACACACACACACAAACAAACAAAGCTTCCAACTCATCACACATCCACCTCGCACAGGCAGGGGCGGGTGAGGAGGACGCCTGTCGGGTTTGGTAGCATGAGTCGCTCCACCAGCGCAGGCAAGGAGCGACACGCGGGAACAAGCGCAGCGCCATTCACGGTAAACCCATCAGGCGTGCGCACAAGCAAGTGGTGTAGCACACGCCCGTCTGTCATAACGGAGAGCGCGTACGATGTGTATGCATCTCCACTCTGCGCTCGCAGGCGCACCAAAAACATTCCTTGCACACCGCCAGCCTCACGCAGCTGCTGCTCCGCACCCATGCGATCGAGGTGGGGATGGAACCAGGGCGTGGATGTCCCCGTCACCATTTCATCACCGCCACCGCCATTGCGCCGTATCGATGGCAGTCGCCGCGTTGCACGGCGCCCGGTCGCTTCACTGTCATCGTGGCTGCCACCACGGTCGCGAGCATGATCACGGCCACCACCACCGCCGCCACCGCATGCTGCCAACACGGTATCTGTGGCGTCGTAGGTCCTCTGCGTCCCATCAAGCGCCGCATATGCATCGTCATCACCACCATCGCCACCACTCTCAGTGCGCGTCTGCGTGGTGGTGCGGCTTCTGACACCCCGCGGCGCAGCCGTCGTTGCAACAGGCTGCATGTACACGCGCGCGTCCACGCTTCCGAGACCGGAGCGCGAGCGTGCACTGCCCTGTTGCGACAGCCGCAGGCTTGCTGCATCATCGCCCATCCCGCTGTTTCCACCACTTGCACCAGTGCGTGCCACTGGCTGCATGTACGTTCTGTCGCTGCCCATGCCTGCCCCTTGGCGCGCGTTGCCGCTCATATGCATCGTGCCTGCAGGCACGGGCACCTCGTACTCGCGGGTGGCAGCTGGCTCCATGTATGCCCGGCTTGCACTTGCACCTGCACCTGCACGTACACCGTCGCTGCTCGCCGTGCCATTCGCAGAGACGCTGTGGCGGGACGCTCTGCTGTCGCGGCGAACAAACACGGGGTTGTCGTGCAGCGTGACCACCTCCTTGTCAAAGGCAAACGGGCCACTCGTGCCGGGCGCATATCGCACAGCAACGCGGCGCCGTCGACACATGCGCACCACTACAACAGCAACCACAATCACCACCAGACCCGCGCCAGCCGCAACCCCAACGATGATGCCCAGCTGCACCTGTTCGTCCGCGCCAGCACCACTGCCACTCCCTTGCTGGCTGTCCGTGGTCGTTGTTGTCGGCGTTGTGGTGGTCAGGGCGACGGACGTGCTGCCCCGACTCGTCACTGTTGTCGATGCTGTCGACTGTAGTGGGGTGGCCGTTGTCGGTATCTCCAGTGGCGGCAGCACAGTCGCCAGGGCAGTGGCACTGACAACAGACACGCCTGCCGCGTTGGATGGCAGGTTGGCGATTGCAGCGGCAACATCCACCTCATGGATGGGCGTGAGTGTGTCATCCAGGAACAGCACATCCGTAATCGCAACGACATCATCACCATCAGCAGCACGCCGCTGCACCCAGCCATGTCCTTGCTGCAGCTGTTGTTGCTGTTGTTGCCGTCTTCGTCGGGCTGCCCCTCCCCCTTCATCGCTTGATGCACCAGCACCAGCACGGCCGCTGCTGTTGTTCACAGCAGCAAACGGGTTGCGGATGTTGAATGCATCGTCAAAGCTGTCTGTGGCAGTGGCATTGCTGCGCAGCGTGAGCACAATTGCGTGCTCCACAGCCAGCTGTGACGCCAGCACCTGCTCAATACGTGTTGCATTCAACACGTCCCCACCAAGACCACCAAGACCACCACCATCAAGACCACCACTGTTGCCATCGCTGCTGGTGGCCAGGCGAAGAACAAGCCGTAGCATGCCCGTGTACGAGCGAAGGGGCAGCACCTCCACCTGCCGGTCTTCGTAGTTGCTGTTACCGCTGCTGTCCACCGCCTCGTATCGCACCGTGTACACGCCAACCTGGAATCGGTCAACGGTGTCATGCACGCTCGCTTGCAGCACGCCCTCCACCGCATCTAGCGCAAACGCGCCGGGGTCCACAAACACGTGCGCATATGCCACCTGCACGTACTTTTCGCCTTGCAGGAACACGGTTGGAGGCTGTGTGTCCTTTGCATACACCACCCGCCTGCGTGTCGTGGTCTGTACGCCGTCGTCAGCCGTGTATGTGACGACGAAGCACTCCTGCGGCTGCAACCCGATTTGCAACACCTCCAGCCCGCCACTCGCGCCAGGGTCGGCGCCAGACAACCGCACCATAGCAGCACCAACACCACCGCCATCACTGCCATTCTCGCCGCCGCCGTTCCCACTGTCACTGCTGGCGACCACAGTCACGTTGGCAAGGCTGCATGCGCTTGCGTCAGCGACGTGCTCAAAGCGGTCAACATGTGCGCATATGAGGACGTCGTTGAAGAGGCGGTTGTCAAATGCAACGGCGCCAGCCTCAACAAAGGAGGTAGGGAGGTCCAGCACCACCCTCGTCTCGCCCAGCAGCGTGAGATTGGGCGGGGTGTGGTCGGCGTACTCAAGCACCACGCTCGCCACGGCTTCGTTGCCCGCAGCATCGGAGACAGTGACGTCCACGCTGTACGCAGCGCCGTTGGGGGCGTCAACGGCAATCAGCGACGAGGCCGCGCGCGGGTCCGGATTGGGCAGCGTACCCCTCCACGCGTTGGCAACGGCCGTGGCGGCAGCACCACACGTGATTAGGGGAATGGTGGGCCGACGCACCACGATGAGCGAGGGGGCGTTGGTTGGAGCGGCCACGTTGTCCAGTACGTCCGCAATCATGTCCAGTGGAGGGGTGAGCGAGGGCAGGACAATGTGGGTTTGGTTGGCGGTGGTGGCGTCCTCGTCCACAAACGTGGAGTTGAAGACGATGGTGGGCGGTGTCTGATCGAGAAACCGAACGGTCACCGTGCCGTTGACGCTGTTGCCTGCAGTGTCGGGAGCATCAAACAGGACATCAACGACTGTTGGGGACGACGCGAACACGGCCGGGATGGCCGCTTGATCGACGGAGATAAGGTCGCTCACGTCACCAGCGTAGAGGTCTGTTGACTGGAGGTATGCCGCGACGTTGCCGGCCTCCGCCATGGGCAGCACGAGCGGTTGCGGTGCTGTGACAACAGGCGGTAGTGTGTCCACGATGGTGATGTTGCGGGTGATGTAGTTGCCGTGGAGGCCGGCCGCATCAACGACGCCAAAGGTGATGGGTTGCTGGTCTGGAACGGACGGTGGGAGGATATTGATGGTGGGCAGCTCAATTGTCACGCCATCACCGTTATCGTATGCACGCACGAGCGATGATGCGTAGTCGAAGGGCGTTCCTGCCTCGTGTGTCAGCGTGCCGTTGCCGCCGATCCACACCAGGCGCGGCGGCTGCGTGTCCACGATGGTGAGGGTGAGGATGTGTCTGCCAACCTCTCCATCCGAGTCCTCGGTAATATACTCGAGCGAGAACGTTGTACCCGCACGCCGCGATGTGTCAACCTGCGTGGTTGCGCACGCGTATAAAGAAGGTGTTAGACGAGAGGGGGGGAGGAGTACAGCAACAGGTTCGCACAAGCACACATGGCTTGTACAAAGTGAAGCAAACACGCACACACACACACTCTCTCATACACACATGGCTTGCACAAAGTGAAGCAAACACGCAGCACAAGCATGTAGCTGTCACTGCAGGCAAGCACGAAAGCAGCCATGCTTGAAAGTGCCCACCCCGAAATGCACACGCGCACGCACACAAAACGCACCGCGTTTGCACCCTCGATGGTGTAGGTCAGGTTGACGTCCTTGTCATCCAAGATCACAGTCGGGGTGGGAAATGTGAAGGTTGCGCCACGCTCCACTGTTGCATTTTCGGGAAGGCCGATAAACTCCTGTCAGCACAACAGCAGCAATCCAAGGTCACAACAATACAGCACTGTGAGAAACGATCGTGATGTTGTACTGAGGGCATGACAGAAATGGTTGGCAGTGGCAACTGACAGGAATTGGTCCTCTTGTTGTGGTGGTGGTTGTAGTTGTGGTTGTAGTTGTCGTAGTTGTGGTTGTAGTTGTCGTAGGTGTAGTTGTCGTAGTAGGTGTTGTCGTTGTGGTGGTGTGGGTTGTGGTAGTTGTATTTGCAGTGGAACTTGTGGTGGTGGTGGTTGTAGTTGTGGTTGTAGTTGTCGTAGATGTGGTTGTAGGTGTAGTTGTCGTAGTAGGTGTTGTCGTTGATGCACCGACAACACCAACCAGCACACCGTCACCGTGCAGCTGTGCCAGCGTCACGAACACTGCCGTTATGGCCAGCACAAGCGCAGCCACATGGAATCGGCGGTGGTGCCTTCGCCGCCGCCCATCATAGCGACGACGAGAACAACCACGCCGCTCCTGCTGCTGCTGCATCCTTCCACACAGCCACGCTCAAACACCACTCACTACCTCTCACACACAGAGCACAGCACCACCACCGCAGCACAGCACGCCGCGATGTGTGTGCGTTTGGGTCGATCGCCTGGTGTGGGAGTCGTAGCTGCGTGTTTTATGTAAATCTTCAACTAATTTTCAGGATTGCGCTTTTGTGCTTGCCTGTCCTCCATCACCAGCCAGCCGGGTGCTTGTTTGCGTCTTTGCGTCTTTGCCACCCACACAACGCACACGCCAGCGCTGTGCTTGGTGTTGGGATCCCTCGGCCAACGCAACAGCAGAACAACAGGAGAAGCCAGAAGGGGTAAAAGAGAAGAGCCACCGTACCACGGGCATACGCTCAATTGATTCAGCAAGCCATTGCGGTGTTGTTGCAGTTGTTGCGGGTGTTGTTGCAGTTGTTGCTGTATTGTCGTGCTGGGCAGACCCGTGAGTGCGCACGCACACACGATGGAGTACTTGCGCAAATGGGCGGATGGGTTTGCCGGGCTGGACGATTCTGGCCCCGCACCCGATATTGTTGTGGACGAGGACGTCAAGCAACAGGTCAAGTCCATCCTTGCACCACGGTATCGCAAAAAGAGGCATCCTTACGGCCAGTTCAAAGGAACGGACAGAAGGTGCGCAAAATGTTTGCACCGCAACTGCGAGTGATTGTGTGCGTCATGTGCATGTGTGTGTGTGTAAGTGTGTGTAAGTGTGTGTGTGTGTGTGTGTGTGTGAGTGCGTGTGTGTGTAAGAGAGAGAGTGTGTGTGTGCGTGTGGAAGTGTGTGTAAGAGTGTGTAAGTTTTTGTGTGACTGTGTGTCTTTATGTGTTGACTTGCTTGTGTGGATGCGTTGTCCGTTTCCGTTGGCGGCGCCGTTTTGCTCGCGAGCGACTGCTTGATCTCGCCTAAACCCCACTCATGTTGGTGCTGCGTTCCCCCTCCATCCCTACTCCCTACCGCTATCCCTTTATTGCTGACTTGTGTCAACAGCAAACACGAAGAGACGAATGGGCGCGATCCCAATCGCCGCGTGCGCATCATGCTGCCCACATCCCACGTCGAGCGTCGGCGACGCAGGGTGCGTGCACATGCTGTTTTAATGCAACACGCTTCCCCAAGCACAAGCAAGGGGGCGATCGGATAATGTTGGGGGCGGACGGATAGCTTGTATTGTGGGGCCGTTGCATTGCTTTGAAGTAACGACTGAGTATGAGCCCACATCTCCACTTGCACATCTGTAAACCAACAACACCATTCACGCGGACACACGACCCTTGCGCGTCGATCCATTGCCCACTCCCTCTGCTCTTCCTTCTGTTCCTCGTTGTGCAGGTTCAGTCGGTGTCTCGACAGCAGCGCAGCGTGGGCGTGACACTGGCTGACGTGATTCACATTTACGACCAGGCGTGCCGCACCCGCAACTGTCGCCCGCTGGCGCCAATCGTCGAGCAACTCTTGGTGCGAACTCCTAGTGTGTGTGTGTGTGTGTGTGTGTGTGTGTGTGTGTGTGTGTGTCTGTGCTCTTGTGTGTGCGTGCTCTTGTGTGTATGTGTGTGTGTGTGTGTATAGCTGTGTCGTGGTGGCGGAAGCGAGAGGAAGGACGATACGAGTTTAGTCGTGTAAATTGCCGAGAACAGCGCCGTCGGGAATGAGCGTGACTGTGGGCACCAACTGCTGTCTCACACGTGCCATTCATCGTGATTTGGAACAACCGCATCATTCGCAGCGCGGATCACAAGGAGACGAACAGGCAGCACGTGCGCTCACGCTAGCAGGTATGTCCACGCCTGAGGGCCGGGGGGGGGCGGAGGCGCACATGCGTGAGCGTGTGCGTGAGCGTGTGCGTGTGCGTGTGCGTGTGCGTGGGCGTGTGCGTGTGTGCGTGTGTGTGTGTTTGTGACGTGTGAACACGAGCGTCTGCGTTTATGAGCCAGCACTCACGCACATTATCCCCATGTGTGTGTGTGTGTGCGTGATACAGGGGTGGCGAGCGTGTCGCGGCCGCAGGTTGAGGCGCTGTGTCAGATCATTGCCAACAACACGTGGCTCAGAGACATCGACGTCTCCGGTATGGCCTGGTGTACCCTTGGATCACATTCACACGTGCACACATGCACAATTTGGATCACGCACACAAACAAACACACGCGCACATGTGCACATGCAATTAACTCAAGTATTGGCAATTCCTCACACACTCACGTCAACGCTGTACTATTTATTGCGACCACCACCACCATCATACTCATCACCACCGTTGACAGGTGCTGGTCTGGACGATGCTGCTGTGCATCTCCTCTGTCAGCACATTCTCCTCCGGCGCTGCTGCTCAAAGCTCAACCTCGCAGGTCAACACACACGCACACACATGCACACACACACACACATGCACATCTGTCTCCACTGCTCTGGTGCACGCTGTTTTATGTGTGTGTGTGTGTGTGTGTGTGTGTGTATGTTGGAGTCACTACTTGCCCAGCATATGAGCGATGTCCCCCATCTCACCCTTCTGATCGTCACCATCTGGTTCCATCAGACAACCACTTCTCGGCCCCGGGGATGGGCGCGATGTGTGACGTTTTGCAACGGTGATGCACACACACACACACACACACACACACACACACACACACACACACACACACACACACACACACACACACACACACACACAGAGTGCACATGTCCTCAACATTCGCCCGCACATGACCAGCTTGTGTGCTGTCATGACTACATTGTTGATCCAACCTCTATCAGGTCTTGTGTGTTCACATTCAAACCCCCTTGACATGTCGCACCACGTCTCCCTCGCTGTTCCGTTTTGCAGGAGCATGCTGCTGACATACCTTAACCTCTCGGGCATCCCCTTCAACCGCAAAATGGGTGGGTCGGCCGACCTTGATTGGCGCCCTCTGTGTGTGTGTGTGTGTGTGTGTGTGTGTCTGTGTGTCTGTGTGTCTGTGTCTGTGTCTGTGTGTCTGTGTCTGTGTCTGTGTTTGTGTGTGTTTGCATTTGTGTAGCTTAATCCCGACATGTAAACTAGGTGCCCCTTTTTCATCCCTCCTCATCTACTAACATCCACTTGCGTCATGCGTTCGCTTCTGCTCAGGGCAACTGCTCCGCGCGACGCTCCCGCGGTCCAAATTGCACACTCTCATCATGCACCGATGCGGCCTGCACGTACGTCGCTGCAGTCGCTGTGTTGCGATGTTTTCATGTTGTTTGACTTTGTTGTTTGTCCTTCTCTGTCATCCGTTCAACCTGCGCTGACTCTTGTTGCTGTTGCACACACACACACACACACACACACACACACACACACACACACACACACACACACACACACCGAAAGCGACGCTTTCCGCCATGGTTTTGCTTCCCCCCTCTCCTCTCTCTCACCCCCAAGTCCACTCATTGCCACACTATCAACACGTGCAACCACACCTGTGTGTGTGTGTGTGTGTGTGTGTGTGCGTGCAGGATGTGGGCACGCTGACGCTTGTTGCCTCGGGCTGTGCTTCTTGCTCGAGCCTGCTCAACATCAGCTTCAAATCAAACAACGTGCGGCTGTTGTCATCGCTGATGCCCTGTGTTTGCAGTATGTCTCGCTCGCGTGTCTTGCTGAAGGCTGCACCTGCACACTTGAACTTGCCTTTGTCCCGCGGCCACACCAATTCACACATGATCACCTCCACCACCACTGTCACCACCACCACTACTGCCATCACCATCTCCATCTCCATCACCATCACCAACTGTGTGCAGATTCCTGCTGGTGGCGGCAAGTGGGTTGCGCTGCCACTCAAGGCACAGGCCATCGAATGTCTCGATCTCAGATGCAACAACCTCGAAGGTGCACACATCGCACGTGTGCAGTGTGTAGTGTGTGTGCGTGTTGCCGGTGTGCATTAGCATGAAGTGCCTGCACGCAGCCAGCCGTCACTTGCGTGAAATTGATCCAACTACGTGCTCTGACAGCCACTCGCACCGCCACTATAATGACTCCTCGCCACTCGCCACCACCACTCCCGCTCGCGATCATGACTCTGCAGATCGCGGTGTTGCGGATATCGCCATGGCTCTCGCGCAGGGCGGCAGCGTCCAGAAGCTGGTGCGACGCTCACACTTCATTCGTTTGCTTCCCTTTGCTTTCAACTGCTTTCCTTGCATTGGGCATCCACATACACACACACGCACACGCACGCAAGCGCACACGCACATATTCATGTACATTTGCATGTGTTCATGACTGCTGCGTCTTTGTTCTTCTCTCCCCCTCACGCACGTGCTGTCATGTCTGACATGTGTTTCTAGGTTTTGTATGACAACAGCATCTCTGTCCACGGCGCCATTCGTCTCATCAAGGTTGGAAACAGCCCATGCCCACACGCATGCAATGCTAGTGCCAAGGACCTGCTCTTCCCACTCACGCACAGCAAGTCACACAAACGCATTGTTATTCACACATTCACACTCACACAAGCACTCGCGCGTGCACTCGTATGCACTCCTGCACGCACACACCTTGCTCACGCACGCTGGCCCACGCACAATTCTCTTACACATACGCACGTCCTTCTCTCGCACGCGCACGCAGGCGATCCCGAACGATTCGCCACTGGAGTCGCTGGACCTGAGCTTGAACCCCATTGGTCACATCGAGACGGTGCGATGATGATGATGATGATGATGATGATGATGATGATGATGATGATGATGATGATGATGATGATGATGATGATGATGATGATGATGATGATGATGATGATGATGATGATGATGATGATGATGATGATGACAGTGTGAGGAAATGGTGAAGGTGATGTTAGGGTTGCGAGTGGGTAGTGATCAAATGATGGCTGTGATGATGGTGGCGGTCGTAACAAGTGTGTTGTTGTTTGTGATGCTGTCTTGCCAACTCCTGCACGCTTGTACACACGTGCAAACCAGTTTGCCCTTCACAATGCAACTCACCACATTGCACCCGCATACTCGCTCACTCCCGACCCACGCTCATCATAATCGCCATGCATGTGCATGTGTATTTGCACACAGGTCTCTGCGCTGAAGCGTACACTCCTCGGGAACACCACGCTGAAGAATCTGTTTCTGTGGAACGTGGACATGCGTGACGACGGTGCGATTGCGCTGGCCGAGTTGTTGGCGGAGAACCACACACTCGAGCGCATTGAGCTGCGACAAAACTCCATCGGCATGGCTGGCCTCATGGCTCTCAGGTGAGCAATGACATGTGATGGATGTGTGTGTGTGTGGGGGGGGGGGGGGTGAGGCTGGCGGAGGCTGTGGGGCGTTGCTGTTGTGGCTGTGGTTGTGATGGTTGTGGTTGTTGTGATTTGTGTGGGCTGTGGTGTGGAGTCATTGGCTGCTTGCGCCCGAAAGCGGTGTTCTCGACGCCACGTGTATCAGATCACATCGACCAAACCCCTCCAACTCTTCATCATGGCACTGACTAGCTATCCAACCGACTGATCATCCATTTTTCCAACCCATTCACTGCTCCACTTTCAGCCACACGATTCGCTGTAACAAGACGGTCTTCAAGCTGCTGCTCGATGTGCCCTTGCACCGCACGCAGTACGTTCACACTGATGGCTGACACGCCCATGCACCTCGGCTTAGCGCTGGACACGAGCACGCGCGCACACGTGCATGTCGCAGATGCCATGGCACGCATACATCATACACACACCCTCACACCCTCACACACACACCCTCACACACACACACACACACACACACACACACACACACACACACACACACACACACACACACACACACACACAACACGCGCACAGGCAAGAGGAGGACGACTTTCAGCTGATGTACACGCAGATCCAGCAGGCGTGTGCACGGAATCTGGCTGCGCGGGTGCCTGTCTCCGAACAACACGAACGACGCATGGAGCGATTGCAGTTGCGGTCACAGCCAGAGAGCACAACGCAGCGCCACGACGACGGCTCGCCGATGGTCGTGTTCCATCCAGGCACTGAGGACCATGAGCTGATGCAGTGCTGTGGCCGTGACGGTGACAGTGATGGTGGTGATGACGACGACGATGATGATGATGAGGATGATGGTAGTGGTGATGGTGATGAAGGAAGTAGTAGTGCTGATGGCAAGGAGGGTGACGTTGCGGCGAGGGCGATGGCGGAACACGAGCGTGAAGGAGAGGCGCTCAAGCAGCAGCGAGAGGCGGTGGAGACGAGGAGGGGAGCTGATGATGCAGACGAGGGGGAGGGCGTCGAGGACACACACGGAACTGAGGGGACGCAGCCAGATACTGTGGACACAGTGCAAGGCGCTGACAAGACACCAAAAAACGGGCAGCAGCAACAACAACAACAACAACAACAACAACAACAACAACAACAACAACAACAACAACAACAACAACAACAACAACAACAACAACAACAACAACAACAACAACAACAACACGATCAGCATGATGCGTCGTGTGCAGACGCTGAAAGCCACACCACAATGAACGGCGAGTCCGAAGCAGAGCCGGCAGCAGTCGAGAGCAGCAGCAGGAAGGAAGAAGCACCAGCACCTGTTAGTGGTGGTGATGGCGGTGATGAGGACAGATTTGAGGCGCACACAGCTTCACTGCCACGCCCAGAGCAAGAACAAGGGAGGGATGCACAAGAACAGCCGCAACCAGAGGAGGAGGAAGGGGAACAAGACTCGCCACAACAACAGCAGCAACAAGAACAAGAACGCCACGGTGCTGATGATGATGGCGGGGACGATGTAATTGGTGCCGCTGTGAACAATATCTCTTCTCACGCCACAGACAGTGCTGCAACTAACACACACGCGAACGGCAGAAATGGCATGCACGGCACCGTCAAGCCAAAGTTCGTGTTGCCGGACCACACAAACCGCTCCAGCAGCATCAGCGACAACACCGCGCGCACTGTCGCTTCCCCCACGCAGCAGCTCACAGGTGTGCGTGTGTGTGTGCGCGTGTCTGTATGTGTGTGTGTGTGTGTGTGTGTGTGTATGTGTGTGTGTGTGTGTCATTATTGCGCGCACATTTGCCGTCATGCATCGCTACTTCGTTTGTATATTCCCGAATTGTTCATGTTATGCTTTTGTTTTAACTCTGCATGCTTCCTCTCGTTTCTCACCCATCACTCACCACTCATTCACACATGCAACTGCATTGTATCTTCGTCAGCTGTTGACTCGCTGGATTCCGCCGCATAATCGTTCCACCCGTCCCCTCTTGACCATCACGTGGTCCCTCCCCTCTCTCACCATCACATGGTCCCTCTCCTTTGATGATCAAAGCTTTTCTCGTTCTTGCTTGCTTGCTCGCCAATGTGTTCTGGTGCAATGACATGATGTGCACACGTCGTGTTGCCCCGCGCGCTGTATTTTTTCACTTCAACGCATGTTCTTGTTTCCATTTTTGTGCCCTCTTGTGTTACATCTGCGCTTTTGTTCTTTTGTTGCCGTTGTCGTCACTGCCAACTTGCGTCATGTAACTATGCCGACCGCTTGCCGAATGTGTGTGTGTGCGTGCGTGCGTGCGTGCGTGTGTGTGTGTGTTTGCATCTTGTTGACTGACCTTCACGCTGCCATGATCACCATCCCATACACATGATGATAGTTTGAGCTGATAGTTTGAGCGTTGTGCTGTTAAATTGCACGTACATCGTGCGGCAACCACTTTTGGGAGAAGGGGGAAGTATTGACAAGCGAGGAGACAAAGATGTCACGAAGTGCAGCCCATACACGAACAAACAAACAAACAAACAAACAAACAAACAAACAAACAGACACACACACACACACACACACCACCACACCACACCACACCACACACAACAAAAAACAAACAAAACAAAACAAAACAAACAAACACACACGCACAACACCACACCACACCACACACAAAAAAAAAAAAACACACACACGCACGCACACAAACAAACAAACAAACACACACGCACGCACACAAACAAACAAACAAGCGACCAAGCGCTACAGAGGAGACGATGCTTCATAGAGCGGATTTGTGAAATCAGAGTCGAGATCATCACGCATGGGGTCAAAGGATGAGTCCGATGTGTTGCGTACGGCGCGGCTGGACTTGCGCTGTCGAACACTGCCATTATGCAAGCTGGGGAATGTAAACGCACTTGCGCCCGGCTGCTGTTGCGAGAGGGTGCTCGCCCGTGTTGTGTTGTTGGCGCTGGTGTCGGTGCTGTGTTCATCGCCACGTGTACCTGGTGCTCCAACACCACGGTTGCCAATACCATCATCACCACCATCATCACGTTCGTTGTCACCACTACTACTGCTGCTGCTGCTGTTGCCGTCGTGTCGCGGATCGTCATCAACGTCGCTGCGATCAGCGCCCTCCACCTCATATACGCTCGAGCGTTGGCGGTTGAAACGCACGTCGTTCAACCGTTCTGCGTGCTTGCGTGCGGTTGTGCTGGTTGCTGTTGCGGGCGCCGTCTGCTTTGGGCGCAGCGCCCCCGTTTTGAAATGCGGGTTGGTCCATGACCGAAAGCATGCGTCACGGAGGTGCATGTTTGGCTGCAAGAACAGCGGGTTCATTTGCTGCTGCAGAGGATACTTGTGCCTGAACGGGTGTGGTTGTTGGTTGTTGTTGTTGTTGTTGTTTGTTTGTTGTTGTTGTTGTTTGTTGTTGTTGTTGTTGTTTGTTTGTTGTTGTTGTTGTTGTTGTTGTTGTTGTTGTTGTTGTTGTTGTTGTTGTTGTTGTTGTTGTTGTTGTTGTTGTTGTTGTTGGTTGTTGTTGGTTGTTGTTGGTTGTTGTTGTTGTTGTTGTTGTTGTTGTTGTTGTTGTTGTTGTTGTTGGTTGTTGTTGTTGGTTGTTGTTGGCGGTACATACTATGAGACGCACATGTGAAGATGTACACGGTGGCACACGCAAACACACGTGTGTGTGTGTGTTTGCGGCCACAACAGCAGAACCACACCAACCAGTTCCACAACACGACCGAAAACATGCATGACAATGCAACTTACACGCCAGAGAACATGCGTTGCGCTTCCTCTGGCTGTTTCATTTTGTCTTTGAAGAATCCGGCCAACGCAAGCACGGTCTCACTGTACAGTTGGGGGAGAGGAACGGGGGGAGAGAATGAAAGGTTGACGCTCTGAACTTGAAGAAAAGATTGAGGCCGCTGCTGTCATGCACACACACGCACACACACACGCACACACACACACACACACACACGAACAAACGCATTCGCCACCCACTTGTAGTCTGCCATAAACTTGTTGTCCTGTGCTAGCTCCACGGCTTGTGGCATGGGGATGAGCTTGATGCCTGCTTGCAACTGTAGAGACCCTGTGCACATGCAAATGCATGTTTTAGCGTGAGTGTGAACGAAGATGCAAAGCCACGCCATGCAAAGCCACGGCACGCATAAGAACGGGTGGTGGTTGGAAAGGATATTCACCGACGCTCGGAGAGCGACACGTACCAGGGTCTGTGCATGGAACAAGAAACGCCACTGCTGCGCCGCCGTATTTCTTCAGCCGATTCGCGTGGCCCATGATGGTCACGCTCACGGGTTTGCGAACTGCGGACGTGACATATGATAACACGTGTGCGGGTCAAGTTAGATGGAGGGAATAAACTGCTGACAGGAAATGGCCAGCGGGCAAGGAAGACCAACAACAACAACAATAGCGCCGAAAACCCATGCGCATGCCGCCAACACCGCCACCCTCGCCACCGGTGCCAACAACGACATCTTGCACGTACGTCCATGCTGGGCATAGCGCTGGGCGATTCGAGTGGCGCATGCTGTTAGGGCTTCTCCTTGGTAGTTTGGGCCTTCAGGCAGGCCGAAGCTGTCACCTTGTTCCATGACAAGCACATGGAAGTCTGCGAGTGACAGGCTCGATGGCCGTTTCAAAGGCGGTGAAGCCTGTGGCTGTGTATCCAGCGCAGACGCTTTGGAACTGCACGTGCACACGCACACTATTGCCCCCAGCTCCAGCACATCACCGCTGCTACTGCTGTTGTACGCCATCCTGGCCTTCGCTGGTGTGTGTGTGTGTGTGTGTGCGTGTGGGCGTGTGTGTGCGTGTGTGTTTGTGTGTGTGTGTGTGTGTGCGTCTGGCTGGCTGGGGGTGTGTTGTTTGTGTTTGTCGTTGACTTTGTGGTGGCTGTGGTGATTGTAGAAAATCAGCTGTATCTTCCATAAAAACATTTCATCAAGCCAGACTTCCCACTCACTCATCCTCATCATCGCTCTGCACACACACCACCGCTGACTCTTTGACTTTGATCGCCGCTGTTTGTGTCTGCACCTCCACCTTCTTGTCCTTTGTCGCCATGTTTTGGTGGCTGCTTGGAGCCGGGGCTGTGGCCCTGTTTGTGTTCATCGTGATTGTGCTGCTGGATCAGTTTGAGTACAGCTCGTTTGTTGTGGAGAACTGGTTTGCTCCCTCTGTGGCCAACAGAACGCTCAACTCTGTCCTGGACAAGGCAGCCAACATCTTCTGCACGGACTTCCAGCCCCGTGTCCTCAATATGACCTTGCCTGGCTACAGGTGCAGGGTTCTGTACGTCCAGGTGCGTGCAGCAGCTGCAGCAGCAGTATTGCGGGTGGAGCGACTGTGAGTGAGTGAGTGAGTGAGTGTGTGAGTCAGTGAGTGAGTGAGTGAGTGCATGTGTGTGTGCACGTGAGTGAGTGAGCGAGTGAGTGAGTGTGTGTGCGCGCGCGTGCAAGCTTATGCGTGCTTGTGTGTGTGTGTGCGTGCGTGCAAGCTTATGCGTGCGTGCGTGTGGTGTTGATTGTACGTATGTTTTGTGCACGTATGGATTGTTCTGAAGCAATCTTGCCATGCTCGTGGTGTACCTCAACCCCCCGACTCCACTCGGTCCCAAGCTCACCCATGGCACTGTGCACCACTTGCAACAACCACCAACATTGCTACAGCACCGGGGCACATTCTCGGGTGTGCGCTGCCTGCACGTGTGCAGCCCACCCCATGTCGCCGACGGATCCCTCGGGCTTGCGTTTGAGCTGGCACAGGCCGGCACCGATGTGTTTGTGGTTGAGCCCATGGGCTTTGGCTTTCAGACCCCTATGGCCCACCCGGAACTCACCTTCCGCTTCGAGGCTGCCGACTACGCCCACTGGCTGCACACGGTGTCGCACGCGCTGTGCAAGATGTTTGCTGCATCAGAAGAACCAGAGGCCGGCCTCAACCCGGGCGAGGACGAGGATGGCGATGCAGGCAGCAGTAACAGCGGCGGTGACAACAAGAAGAAGAAGAAGGAGAGTGAAAAGAGTGACGACAACACCAACACTACCCGCAGCGGCAGCACGGCAGCGGAGACCACGGACGCGTTTGACAACAAGGTGGTGCTGGTTGTGCCTGGCCTGCTGGAGGAGGCTGCGCTCATGTGTGCAACGCAGCACAAGAACACCATCAGTGGCGTTGTGGTGGTGCAGCCGTCATCCGCAACAGACATGCGCAACCGTCTTTCCCGCCTCTTGTTCTTCGGCTCGCTGCTATCTTGGGCGTGGGTGGGGCAGTTGCTGTTCCACGTCCACAAGTCCATTGTCGTGCGCAAGTACTTGCGCCACGGCTTCCCGGACACGCCCGAGTACAACGGCGCATTTCAAGACGCCATCGTTAATGTGTACGGCAGCCACCACCCGAGCACCATCAGGGCCAAGGATGACAAGACAGCAACAACAGCAGCAGCAGCAGCAGCAGCAGCAGCAGCAGCAGCAACAGCAACATCGTCATCCTCAGGTGCGGGTGATGTGCGCAGCCGTGCGAGGAGTGGCAAGTCATCACCACCTTCAACGCTGGCTGCCGGCGGCAGTGGCGTAGCGCCGAGCGGCCACACCCGCTGTGCATCTGCCTCCCCCGCCTACCGCTCGTTCTACTCGGATGTCACATTCGAGGCACTTGCAAAGGGCGCGCGCTTCCCACTCGTGTCTGCAGCCCGTAGCCTGCTCATGTCGCCGCGACCATCTGCTCCAACACTCGCCACGGTGCAGGCGGAGAAACACGCGCGTGTGGGCGTGCCTGTCCTTGTCGTTGGTCGCTCCACAGGCGGCACGGGGATGGGCGGTCCCACCGACGCGGAAAACGTTTCCACAACGTTCACAGATGCATCCTTGTGCCAGTATGCGAAGTTGCACAGCGCTGGATACTTCCCTGAGCAGCAGCAGACGTCCGCTGTTGCTGCGCTCATTGACGCATGGGCAGCGAACACCGGTGTCGCAAACTAGCAGTGGTGATCGCCGTCATGTTGGTGGTTGTGGTGGCCGTCATGTTGGTGGTGTGGTGGTAGTGTGTATTGCGTGTCAGGTTGTGTGATATGTCTGACCTGCTTTTTTTTTTTTTGTGTGTGTGTGTGTGTGTGTGTGTGTGTGTGTGTGTGTGTGTGTGTGTGTGTGTGTGTGTTCGTTCGTTCGTTTGCATGTGGGCAGTGCTGATGTGTCGATGATTGCTGCGTATGTGTATGTGGCGATATGGTCGCTTCATAATTGAATCAAAACGCCAACGACACAAATAGGCACACAGGTACACGCACACCAGCGTGCTCATGCACGCACACACACAAACAGACACACACACATACACACACATACACACACATACACACAAACAGATGCACACACGCACAAACAGCGATACACACACAGATACACACACACACACACACATCACTTGAGGAGCGCGAGTGTGGCGTCCACATCGCCCTGCTGCAACGATTTCGCGCCCTTCACAACAGCGCGCTGGCCCAAATCAAACGCGTGTGTGTACAGGGAGGAGCGGTCTTCATCTTCAAGGAACTGCAGCACAACATCGGCGCGCGGTGCAGAAAGGACAGCGCGAAGACGTTTAAACGCGGCAACAGGCCGCTGCTCCTCGCGCGCCAGCGCAGGCGCCATGGCCAGCACATGCTCGGCCTCAAGCTGGTTGGCAACAAACTGCTTGAGCTGTGACGGCTTGACAGACATGGCGAGTGCATGCAGCTGTGATGGCGAGGAGAGCGTGTCGCGAAGGCGTCCAAGGAACTCTGCACTGGACTGGGGCGGCGCAACAGCTGATGACGATGTTGATGGTGCTGATGTTGATGATGATGATGATGATGACGATGGTGATGGTGCTGATGTTGATGATGATGATGATGATGATGATGGTAGCGACGTAGGGGTAGCAGTGGTGGCGCGCATGGGTAGGGCGGCGGGTGCGGGTTTGCTCGCCGCTGTCGACGGCTCTTGCTTGCTTGCTGTCACCGTGGTTGCTGCTGCTGGTGCTGCTGGTGCTGCAGGTGCTGCAGGTGCTGCTGGTGTTGCCTCGCCACCTTGCTGCATCTGCTTCGCGGCGTCCTCTTGTTTCGTGACCGGCTGCTGCGCCTTTGCAACACTACCTCCTTTCTGTTCGTGTGTGTCCGTCGTTGGTGCAACAGCTGCTTGTGGTGCTGTTGGTGCTGGTGGTGCTGGTGGTGCCGGTGCTGGCGGCTTCTCCACAATATCGCCAACCGGAATCACGTTCCGCTTCGCCCGTGACTGCGACGGCGACTGTGACTGTGCTGATGCTGGCGCCGGCGCGGCACTCGTTTCCTCCATGACAAACTTGCTCTTGGTCTTCTTGTCCTTATTCTTCGTCTTATCCTGTCCTGCTGCTGATGCTGGTGCTGATACTGTTGCTGTTGGTGGTGTTGTCTTCACTGCCCCTGCCTTGTTGGAGACATGATCACCACCACTACCACTACCACCGTTATCATCATCGCCATCTTCGTCGTCGCTGTTGACTGGTGTTCCAATTTCCTCAATTGGGATTCGCACCAGTGGTTTTTCGTCGCGCGCACGCAGCCGCTCCTGCCCGCGCCACAGTGGTGATGTGTGAAGAGTGATGTGATTTGGTGGTGGTGGTGGTGGTGGTGATGAGGTGAAGTGTGATGTGATTTGGTGGTGATGGTGATGTGAGCCGGGTTGGACTGAGAACATGGGATCACTCAGCATCGCAAACTCTCACAGGAGGACAGACAAGACGAATGCAAGTAGGGAGCTTGTGCGTGATGCAAGACTGACGTCACGCAATTTGGCGGCGTGTTGAAGCGGATTGAAGTTCCGCCGGCGGTCCTCCTCGTACTGCCGCTTTTTCTAACGGGGCGACGCGTTGATGGTGATGGAGACTGTGAGAAGCACATGTGCATTGTGCTTGAGAGCAAAAACGAGCACACACACACACAATGAATTGATCATTGGCGCCAGCACGGACCTTCTTGGTGGCTGCGAGCTCCTTGCGCGCCTGCTTGTGGTTCGGATCCAGACGAAGGATGGCTGACCAGTCTGCATATCCAACAAAGGAGAGGGAAACAGGGTTGATGTTGTTGTTGTTGTTGTTGTTGTTGTTGTTGTTGTTGTTGTTGTTGTTGTTGTTTATGTTGTTGTTGTTTATGTTGTTGTTGTTGTTTATGTTGTTGTTTATGTTGTTGTTGTTGTTGTTGTTGTTGTTGTTGTTGTTGTTGTTTTTGTTGTTGTTGTTGTTGTTGTTGTTTATGTTGTTGTTGTTGTTGTTGTTGTTGTTGTTGTTGTT